CACGCAGTTGCTGCGTTATTCATTCAAAATATTAGAGAAATATAGTATAGTAGCTCAATGCGTAGAAGATCTTGATTAGGTTAAAACCGAAACCAAGCCATTCACACAGATGCATACTCAGCGCATTTTTTTAGATGGAAAAATGTGACTGCTGCACTCGCGTCACACAAGAAATGTAGCCATGCAAAGCTAAAACAGTTTAAACTTTTAGAAAACACGGCGCGAATTTGTGGAGGTTTATTCCTTTTCACTGCGTCTCTTATGTTTTTAAATGCAATCTGCGTGATGGGCGATTTGGCTCTTTGTATTAAGCAATATATAAATACATGATACTGTTTTGTTCATAATTGTTTATGCAATTTACGAAATTATATTAGATTTATATGAGTTAATTTAGACGTAATGCACGTTTTTTTTTATAGACAGTTATTTCCATGCGTTGACATTATGTGCTGCATTATTTTGCTCATTGCGCTCTCCTGTGGCCTCGGGAGACAAGACAAAAGTTTCCTTAAAACCTATTTAATCTGCATATAAAACATTAGAAATTAGATATTTGTTTAATTTTTATTGTGTGTTTGACTATTAAAACAAACAAATATTTGTTGTTTGTCTCAATAAATTGGGTTAATTTAAAAATACAGTGGTTAAATTTAAAAAAAAATTTCTATTGCTCTTTGTTTTAAAAAAGGTTATAAAAAAATGTCAATAATTATCGATACCGAACGATATGAAACATTGCATCGTTGATACATTTTTTAGCTATATTGCCCAGCCCTAGGCTAGTATTTCCCTTTTTGGTATGGCGTAGCGGTTAAATCTATGACCAAATTGTAACCAAAAATGTTTTGAATCCCACAAGGGTTGATCTAAAAACAAAGACACCTTACCCAGGACTGGTAACTTATAAAAAGGAATTTTCGAGCTAATAATACTAAATCGTTTTATCATTATTCACCCCCATGCTGTTCCAAACCTGCATGACTTACTTTTTTCTATGGAACATGAAAAAATATATTTTGAAGAACATTGGTACCCAAACAGTTTCAGTTCCCGTCGACTTTCATTGTATTTTTTGACCATACAATGGAAATCAATGGGAACAGAAATTATTTGGTTACCAATATTCTTCAAAATATCTTCTTTTATATTGTGCAGAAAAAAATCATACATGTCTGAACAACATGAGGGTGAGTAAACGATGAAAGAATTTTCATTTCTGGGACGATAAAATCATCGAATAAATGACTACTGACAGCGTAAACCCTTTTTAAATGACTTTTAAGGAAACAAATTGCATGTTATGCTAAACACTCATGTTTCCGTTTCCCTGACAGCTAGACAGACCACAAACACCCACTTGCATGCCAAAAAGTGAGTTCATCTCAGATGGTGACAGATGAAAGCTCTAGTTCAGCCCTTGTAAATACAGTGTTCAGCCTCAAATCTGCCTGGGAACGTGAGGGATTTGTCCAGTCACCAGGGGCAGATCTACCGGGGTGGCACGGGGTTGTAACTGTCACCCTAAGAAAAAGCTGTGCCACCCCAGAATTATCACAGAATAAAATATAAATGTAAGTAGTGTTTCATGTGCTACTTTTCAGCCGCGGTGATGACAGAATACGCAAAATAATGGCAAAAAACACGTCTTTCAATAAACTGTGCACATTGGTTGCACGCGCACGCAGCGTGCCAGTGTAGTCGGCTTCATCAACAAATGACTCTTATGAACCGGAGTCAAAACCACAAAGCTAGTAGCCCTGTTCACTACTAACGAATTGTTTTTATATTTGTTCGTGAATCAGATAATTACTGCTTCTCAGCTAACTCAGAAGTCCTCTGAGAAATCTAATCCCGTCCGGATATGTCTGAGATAGACATTAGACAATGGATATTTCACTATTCTATATGTACAGTAAACTGTAGCACATGTTGTACACCACAGCATGTGACTGCCAAATTGTATTTGTAACCATTTTTTATATGTACTGCATTTTTGCAGAACTGAGAAATGACTGCCTAGAGATATAGCTAGTCTTGTGTCAGGAGACCAAGAAACTGCTATAGTGCTGTATGAAATTTGGCGAAATGTGCAGAGGATACTAAATTTACTTTTTTTCATTTAATTTTTTACTTTACTGTATTGTGGTGCATACCGAGTTCATACAATTCTTTGGTATTTGAACTTTTCTAGTGCTTTTCATTTACTACAAGATTACTTTACAGTAGTAAAATGAAAACTATTTTTTCCCAAAAGTTCATTGCTGAATTATACATCTGTATCTGTAATTTCATTTATGTATACTGTGATAGACATTGAGCTACAAAAATTATTCCTGAATCCTAGTAATAGTTTTTTTGTTACAGTGTTATTGATCTCAGTGTTCACTGGGCAGGAAAGTCATCTGTGTATTTGAATTGTGTAAGCATTTACAGTTTTTTTCAACTGCTTACACACAAAATCTTTACTTGTCACACAGTTTCTGAAACCTGACACAAATACCAGAACCACACACCAAATCTGCAAAACCATACGCTAATTCTCGGCCTTTGACTCAGTTTTCAATTTCATAAAACACTTTTTGCAAAACACAACACACAATTCTCTATTTAACATACAAAAATCTAACAGGAATTAATATTATGCCAGAGGTGTTTGCAAATGTTTGCTTTTGAGATGTGTTTGTGATATTTTGAATGCAATTGCATTTTGCAAGAGATGTGAGGCATTTTGCATTTTGTGTGTGCAATTCTTGGATTTTTGAAGTTTTGAAAAAAGAGGCAACGTTTTGAAAATGTGTGTAAGCAGTTGAAAGAAACTGTAAGACAAACTGTAAAAACTAGATTGAAAAGTTTGAAAGACAAATTTATGCTGGCTTGTATTAAAGTCTTGTTTAAAAAGGTAAATGGTTTGGTCGGTTAGCTGTTCTAGATGTTTGCTAACGTGTTGCTAGTTGGTTGCTAGGATATTCTGGGTGGTTGCTAGGCTCTTGCTATGCAGTTGCTGAGATGTTGCTAGAGTATATGGTTGATAGAGTTTGTTCTGGGTGATTACAGACATTCCCACCTCTGTTAATAACAGAAAATCAAACAGTTTCAGTGCTTTGATATTATTGTATTTCTTTCTAATGCTAGGAAATTCAAAAGTTTCTGTTGCTCTTAAACTTGCACTAAACGTGATTATACCATCTAAGTAGCCTATGTAATTTTAATATTTATTTTTCATTTTAAACAGTATAGATGATTACTTAATGGTAATACAATATTTGTGATCACAACTGTGTATGTCAGACCATAAGTCCCCAAAAACTATGCATGGGGGCTTGCTTTGGTGTTGCCACCCCTCATAGACCCCATGCCACCCCATTGCCACCCTAAAAATGATTTTCTAGATCCACCCCTGCCAGTCACACACACCTGCACATTGGCAAAATCCACTCTGTTGAGGTCGCTGAGCATCTGGTTGATCTGTGCCGTGTTTTGTAGTACGGCACGAGCTGCTTGGGCCAGGTGGTTTAGAGAGGTGTATCTGCGCAGGGTCTGAGCAAACGCACTTGCAGATGTCACCTAAACAAAGACCAATCCCTTTTGCAGCCAGCCTCTAGCGGCCAGTTGACGAATTACAGTTTAAGTCACTTCCGTTTTGGCTTCACGAGAGAGAGCGGGAGGTTGCCGCTTGCTCCAGGCACATAGATGTGGCCGCCATCTTGGAACGGTCAACTTGACGTCATTCACCATACTGTAGGTTCTCACAGAGCCGTTGAGCCGTTCTGTGCAGGATTGTGGCATCTTTCGAATATTCAGTGATTACTATGGTGAATGACGTCAAGTTGACCGTTACAATATGGTGGACGGCATACGTATAGCGGCCCACAGAAACAATCGCTTATGAGGCATCTACATATATATATCTATGGTTGATACTGTTTCCTATGCAATGACGCTAGCCAATTATAACAGTGGCCGATTACTGAGAGGCCTTAAAACAGGTCGTTTTTAGACAGAGGGTCAGAATGAGGGCTGAAAATAATAATTTTTCCACAGATTTATTTGTTTTTTGTGCAAAAAACTATATTATCATTATAAGTAAACCTCAAGGAACATGTTAAAATAAAAATAAAAAATCCATGTCATGACCCCTTTAATATTCTAAAATGTAATTATCTAATGTTTAATGTATTGTAGTATTTAGGGATTTTGTTTTGCTATTAAAGACTATTTAAAAGAGTAAAAAGGAAATGTCTTAATGCAGATGATGTGACCTTTGCATTTTCCCCAAACAAAATTCATTAGGGAAAGGTTTTAAGTCTTCAAACACTTTTAAACCCTCCTAAACCCCCTTTTAAACCCTGTGTCACAAGCACACTATTTTATCTTCCTGTCAGCACTAACTATCATTAGTCATTCATAAAACAGGAGTTTTGTGGTATTGACTGTAGTGGTTGACTAATGTAGGAAATACCATAGTGAAAGGTGGCTGATATGATGCAACTATATTGTAAAAAAGTCAAATGTAATGAAAGCAAATAAGGTGTACACTACCGTTCAAAAGTTTAGGGTAGTAAGATTTTATTTATTTTTTTTAATAATTTTGTTATTTTTAAAATGTAATTTATCCCTGCGATGGCAAAGCTGAATTTTCAGCAGTAATTACTCCAGTCTTTAGTGTCACATGATCCTTCTTCTAATACATTGATTTACTGATCAATAAACAGCTGTGCAGCTTAATATTTTTGCAGAAACCGTTGTGTTGTGGATTATTGTGATGTTTTTATCAGCTGTTTGAACTCTCATTTTGACGGCACCCATTCACTGCAGAGGATCCACTGATGAGCAAGTGATGCAATGATACATTTCTCCAAATCTGTTCTGATGAAGAAACGAACTCATCTACATCTTGAATGTTCAGTGGGTGAGTACATTTTCAGCAAACTTTCATTTTTGGGTGAGCTATTCGTTACTAAATATTAATACTTTGTCACGATCACTGACCTTCACACGAACCATCTCTTCAGGAATGTTCATCATGGCATTAGTCAGCCAGCTCTCAAGACTTTTCGCAAAGTTTCGGATGGCTTGTGTTAAGGCACCTGAAGAAAGAATTAAGATACTTCAGAAAAATATATGATGTTGTGTGGCAGTGGACGATTCGCCTGTAATTGGTGCCCTGGCAGCCTGAATGTCGACCCATATCCAAATTGGCGAATGTCAATGTGAGTAAAAATAGGCCACTCCAGGCAAAATGTGACTCAACTGATGGATCACCACCAGCTCTGGCACATACTGCTGCATAGTAATAAGTAAATCTGTATTGAGAGAACTCACTGGGAATAGGTCTCAGAACGTCTGGGATGAGCATCTCCACCAGGCCCTGGTACAGTGTGTTGTCGCAGTCACGACTCCAGCGAAGCACTGGATCATATTTACAGAGCAGCACCAAACATGACTTGGGCAGCCTCTTCTCAGACTCATCATGCCTAAGATAGCCAAAGAAACCAGATAAAGTTTGTCTTATTATTCATTAACCCTATAAAGCCTACTGTATCATATTTGATATGCAAATTTATAAGATCTCTAAATTTTGAACATGATTGTGTACAACTAATGAAAAACCAGCTACAAGCTGTTGTCTGACTGATAGTTTATATTTTATTATTCTCATTCTAAAAACATCCACCTTCAGGGCATGGTACACATGTCTTTTTGCTGTGAAATCTTTTTTTATAAAGTAAACATAAGAATAACTTACATATTGTTAGTAATATTGCAAGATGAACACTTACTGGACTGAAGCGACTTAGTGATTATCCACACACCATTTTCTAGAAAAATGGTGTTACAATGTGAGTACCAAATATAATCCATCAGGCTTTTGAGGAATGTTGCATTGCATTATATGTTAAGTTAATTGTTTTATTTTATACCTACACCACTGTTTGAAGGTTTAGGGCTCAGTAAGATTTTTCTTTTGAAAGAAATTAATACTTTTACTCAGCAAGGATGCATTCAGCTGATCAAAAGGGACAGTAGAGACTTCAAATAAACGCTGTTCTTTTTAAATTTCTATTCATCAAAAAATCTTGAAAAAAAAAAAAGTATCACAGTCACCGCAAAAATATTAAGCAGCATAGCTGTTTTTAACAAGACATGTTTCTTGAATAAAAGACACTTTAAACTATATTTTAAATTCTAATTATATTTCACAGTAGTTGTTAAACTAAAAACAACAGAGCTTTGATCATAACACTAGGCATTTAAATATCATCTTATTGGAAGATTTAGAGTGACAACTGATATTTATATGCATTTTGTGTAAGTAGTCTGCTATACTGTTATAAAGGTCTCAATTATTAAACATTACAGTCTATCAGAAGTTCATCTAATGTCAATTGTGTAGGGCCCTATTATTTCCGCGATGTGGACAACACGGACAGAATCGCGGAATCCAGTCATAAAACGTAATTTACTTTATAACGCAGAATGTCACGGAATTTGGCAAATTTTGGAAGGATATATCAAAAGTAGGTCAGCACTGTTATATCAAAACAAGATATGGATTAGTGATTAGTGTCTGTGAATATTAAGCCGCAAAAAATTCATTTAAATATGAATCCTTAATGTTTTGCGTGTCTGTGTGAATGAATGGCGCAGACGTGCGGTTTTGTTAACAACACACATACTGAAGCGCGCGTAACGCTCGCTGTGTTTTCAGCCTCTGCCGCCTCAATATATGAGTACATGAACACATGAACATAATTTCTACAATCTCACTTCATGAGCATTTTACCATTTATTTTAAGAAAAACTATCGTCATATCATGTAAAAACAGAAACCTAAAGGTCTTCACAGCAACCCGTCAAAATAAAAGTTCAGTTTAACGTGAAAAAAACCATGACGGAAATATTACTTCATGTAATCATAGTACTACTACTGATAATAAATTATTATCAAAACATTATTTTTAAAGGAATATTTACCAGAACATTTTAGCCTAAATTTATTTAGCAGAAAAATGTAAATACACAACACAGTATTTCTGCAAAAAAATAAAATAAATACAATAATAATTAAAAAATTTTAATAAAATCAATTAATTAGAGATGCTTTAGATTATTAATATTTAATGAAACCATTAAAATAGAATCCAGAAAAATATATTGAAAACAGAATTTTGTAAAAAAAATAAAACTGAACTGGAGAAAAAAAGAAAACATATTTAGGGCCTTAAAAAACATTTTTTTGTTAAACTTTTAATAAATTTCTCTTTAATATTGTACGTTTCATGATTTCAATTAATTAGACATGCTTTTTGATGAATAAAATTTCATTTAACCATTAAAACCTTAAATGGAAAACAAACAGAATCCAGAACATTTAAAATGGAAAAAATTGAATTTTAAATAAAATGGAATTTGGGGAAATTTGGGGATTTCATATGGCCCTTATTGTGATACTCAACAAAAAAACACTTTTTTTTTTTTAGATTTCTTACATTTTCATATTTTGTCTAAATGTTCAATAAACTGTTACATTCAAAAATATTTTTTATATTTTCTGACAATTATTTCATATTTCTCTATACCACCCTTGCTCAGAAGAACCACCCAAGAACCATCTTGATAAAAATCCTCCTGAAAGCAGGCAAAACTGTGAAAACCTTGACATGTAGTGTTGGATTTTGTTGTGCTGAGAAGCAAACTTACACAGCTAGTGTTGCTGAGTCTCCTGCCTGACTTTCACTGAACCTCCAAAACGTTTTCCAAAGAGTCTCCACCAAAGGGAACTGAAGGTTGACCATCACATCCAGAATGGCCTTAAGAAAAACACAACATCACTAAAAATCAATTCGAAAAGATATTTAGCTTCTACACAGATATTCATAGTGATGTCGACAGTCAATCTCTGGTTTCAAACAGAGAAGAATAGAGAAGACTCACTTCGCAGTGTTCTCTGTAGAGCAACTGAAAGCTTTTAAGATGTTCCAGCTCAATGCCCTCTGGTAAAGCTCTACCCTGCAGGTCAACATCAGGGAATTCCGGGAGAGCTCGGGACGCATCTAAACAGCAATGATAACAATATAATGATTTGTTGTAAAAATCCATGTGAGGGCTTTTCACACGTTTAACCCTGGGTTATGAGTCATTTGAACCTCCGCTTTAAACCCCCGGGTAAAGGGACGTTTCACATTTGTAACTTAGAAGCGGGAATAGCACCACTTTTGCATGCATTTCAGGTTACGCTTCTGAAATTAAAGGTTCACACTTCACACTGATGTCACGACTCACCTAGAAACTGCTGGTACTGCTGGACCTGGGTGCTGATGTCCGACAGACCCGAGCTCTGCTGCTGCTGCTGTCCGGATCCTGACGACATTCCGTTAGTGATTCCCTCCACCTTCTGTACCGGCTTCAGCCTTCAGGGAGACAGAACCAGACTGAGAAACAGAGGAACCAGAGAGACCGATAGCAAGGTATGAAAGAGAGCACGTGTGTCCACCTCTGTTTCTGGGAGAAGGGCTGCTGCCTCATGGCCAGGTGTTGCTGGTCCTCCATCAGACGGAGCAGAGATGAGCTCGCTTTGATCCGCAGTCCATAGTAGTGATATTTGGAATTCCCTCTGGAACAAACACACCAAAGCTTCAGTGCACCTGCGTGACCTGAACCAGAGGATCATGGAGGCTTCTAACCACATATGCGCGTATATGCGTGACTCTCAAACACATCTCCATTCAAAAGTTTGGAGTCAGTAGATTTTTCTAAAGATTTTTACATTTTTTATGCTAACCAAGGCTGCATTTATTTGATCAAAACTACACTTGAAAAACAATAATATAATAACATTTATTTAAATACAATATAATTTAATGAAGCACTATATATATATATATATATATATATGTGTGTGTGTGTGTGTGTGTGTGTGTTTTCAATATCATTACTCCAGTCTTCAGTCAGTGTCACATGATCCGTCAGAAATCATTCTAATATGCTGCTCAAGAACCAATAGTATTATTTTGGAAGGCATTATTTCTGTTTAATATTTTTGTGGAAACCATGATACTTTTTTTAGGATTCTTTGGAATATAAAGTTATTTTAAAAAAGCTTTTATTTAAAATAGAAATGTGTTATAACTGTGTTTACTGTCACTTTTGATCAGTTCCTTTCAGAATAAAAGTATAAATTAATTTTTTTTAAAGTCTTACTGAACCCAGACTTTTGAAAGGTGACGTATGCCATATTAATTTAGTGTGACTTTTGTGAGTGAACCGTTCTTATGAACCAACATTTTTAATTGATTCAGTTGATCTGATTTGAACATATAATAAATTAAACTACTTAACGTAGGTAAAAATAGAGCTTAAATACATTTCATTTTAGTTTTGTTTTGGGGGGGGGGCAAATTCTCTGAATGAATTGATTCACTAAAATAAAAGTACATGTCATGTAACCTGATTCCTCTCACCGTGTGCCCAGGCGTCTGGTCCTCAACCCCATGAACACAGAGCGGATGAGTTTTCCGAAGGACGCCGCGTTGACGGGTTCCAGCTTTTGCTCCTGACAGTGCAGCAGGTAGTGGCAGTAGAGAGTAGAACGGGGCAAACTCACCCCTTCCACTGTCTCATAATTATCCAACAACCACTGCACCTGAGGGCCAGAGGACAGCTGCCGGGATAAGACACACACACACAGCCACAGACACACACTCAGACAGAGAGCCCAGGCTAAAAGATGTCCTAAGACAGACAACACACAAACAACCAAATGCAAACCCGTGCATATGCTTTTGCATGCAGACTGTAATTACACACTCATGCATAGTGTAATTCATTTAAAGTCAACAGTAAACTACATTCACTAACCCCATTTTAGTTCATTTTGAAGTAAAAAATATTCAAGTGGAAAACAATGTTGAACAGGGCTTGATTTTATTGTCACAGGTTGATTGGATGATAAGAAGCAGATGTTTCAGACCTGAAATGTGAGTTTGCAGTGGGTTTAAATTCATGTTGACTTTAAATGAATACAATTTCCTCGAATGTGCAACAAATGGTATTATTTAGCAATGTCTTTACATATGAATAATGTTATTCTGACAGCTTCATGAAAGCATACACTGCTGTGAATAGGTCTTTTGTCTGAATTTCTGAGTTTGTGCACATTTTATATTAGTTTTGTTATTGTTATTGTATGAATGATTGTGTTAGCATATAGTCTGGTGGTAAAAGAGGAACAAAGTTTCTGGTCTTTCATTTCTTTGGAGTTCAAGGTTTCAGTTGTACAATAATTCAAGTGTGAAGTAGTGCGCCGACAGATGAATCAAAAGCAGAACTGTTCGGTAGACATGACAACAAAGTGTTTTTTTTTTTGGCAGAAAAATAACATACCAACAGTCAACAGTTTTGGGGCCAGATTTTTTCATGTTTTTGAAAGAAGTCTCTTATGCTCGGTAAGGCTACATGTATTTGATTGTAAATACAGTAAAAACAGTATTATTGTAATATTACAATTTAAAATAAATATTTTCTATTTGAATATATTTTAAAATTTTTAGATGAATAGAAAATAGTTTTATTTGAAATGGAAATCTTTTGTAAGTACACTATAAATGTTTTTACTGTTACTTTTGATTAATTTAATGCATCCTTGCTGAATAAAAGTATTCATTTCTATTCATTTAATAACTAATTAATTTCTAGTATTTAAAGAAACATAGCATAACAAACACAAATTTTACAGACTCTTGAATGGTATGCATCCCCATGTTTTGGTTGTAAATCTGATGACATTCAGTGTCTAAAATACAGAAAACCAGACGGGGGCAAACACTTTTGCACAGCTCTGTATGCCTCTCGACAACTGTTTCTGCGTGCCGTGGCATACAAGACTAGTATGCAATGAAACGATAAATCAATAAAATGCCTCAATTCTTAACTAAAATCATTTTGTAACAGAATGTGCAGCAAAACTGGAAAGCTGCTGCATATAGGAACATGTTGAACACAAGGCCATCTGTCTCTCATATGGTTATGACTGAATTTTAATGTTTGCAGCAATGAATACGACAGCACAGTGAAAGCCTTAGCAAGCACCACTGACAAGCTACATGTCAACTGGACATGTGTCATCATTGAAATGGCATGCTGTTCCGACAAGTCAATCTGATGACTTTTTCTTCATAGAATAAAACTGAAAATGAAATCAATTTGGACTTGGAAGTATCACTGTGCTCTCTGGCATGTGGAACGGAGCAATGAGATCACCATGCGTTTAAGTTCATTTGGGTGGCGGGAAGAGGGGGGAATCTGTGAGTGGCGATGAGTGACGATTAAGCCCCGCCCCTGCTGTCGTCATACCTTTTTGTCTGCCGACGGCACGCTATTGTCCTCGCCTTCGTTTATACTCACGGTGGCTGGAGAGGCACGAGTGGGGTGCGGATAACCGTGACCGTTTCCGCTGCTGCCGGTCCCGCTGCCAGCCAGCATGTAGCCTCCCTGAATCACATAGCTCCCGCTGCTACCATTAGCCTCGCCTCCGGAATTTCCAGAACCGTTCGACGCCGTCCCAGTGGCTGCCACTACAGCTGTGACTCCGCCCCCTGCCGCCGTCGTGGCATTGGCCACGATCTGCCCCGTCCCCGCCACAAACATGGATACCCCGGGGGATCCTGTGGTCACGGAGACAGTGAGAGGGGTGCCGGGGGACGTGGCCTCAGAACCAGAGGCAGGGGTGGTCTCATAGTACTGTCCAGCAGTGGTCTGGGTGTACAGAGGGGTCTCTGTGTACGGGAAACTGCTGGAACGACTGGGAGAAAATGAAGAGGGTTAGGATTCAGAATAGTATTCAATTTGAACAACTTTTACTACCTTGGGCTTTTCAGACTTTGCAAATAAAATTCCAAACAGTCTTGTTCCATATTTAAATCTTTTGATATGTAACCTTGGGTTAGTAATTAGTAGTTTTGAGATTTAAAACTTTTCAAATCCTGTGGTAAAAATCGCATCATTTCACCCCTTTAACATATTTAAGCACAAGAACCTTTTTAATAAGTACTATTTTAATATTTCATATCTAAATATTTTTTGCATAAATAATAAATAACTTAATATTTTATATTGTCTGGTTTTCTGAAGAATATTACAGAGACAAAAAACATGTTCAAAGGTATGGGTTCGGTAAGATTTGTTAATTTTTTTGAAAGAAGTCTCTCATGCTTTCATATATTTGATCAAAAATACAGTAAAACAGTAATATTATAAAACATTATTATAATTTATAATAACTGTTCAATATATATTTAGGGCCAGCTTTACTAACAGCTTGCGCCAGCGCACACCGTCTTTTTGGCGTTAAAATAGTACTGTCAGGTTTTACTAAAGATGCGCAGTGAAGAATTAGCGCTGAAAAGGCGTAAACAGTTATTTTTGCGCCTGACCTTATTGAATATGCATTTCTAGTAGTTTCCCTTTCAGACGCAACATTTATGGGAGGAGAGTGTTCAAATAAATCATGCAATGCGTTTTACTAACGTTCACACTCGTCAAATGACTGGTATTTACGCCATTATTTAACGCCCCAAAAAAGCATGTCTTAAACTATTTTGCGCTTGAAATGGCTGCAATTATTGTTGCTAGGAGAGGCACAGCAAAGAACAGAGAGCGCGTGGTAGAAGGGAGAGGATTTTTTCCACACGTATTAATTTATTTAGAAAGCAAGAAGAACACATTGTCCAAACATATCGTTTGCCAAGCCATGTTATTTTTAATTTGCTTCAGGAAATAAAAGATGACTTGGAACACCCAACTAGGAGTCACGCAATATCAGGTCTATCAAAACTTATTGCAACCCTTTATTTTTTGGCCTGCGGTTCTTTTCAACGTACTGTGGCTTCTTTATTTCTTTATTTGCGGCTATGCTAATTTGCACTGCGCTTGGTATATTGCGTTGGTCGATATGTAAATGAGATGTTGCTTCTGTGTTCTTTAATTTGCGTGTTGTTAGTAAATCACCCGCAGAAAATTCCCCTCCCATCGGCACTGTTTTGGAATTGCGCTCTCGCGCTAATTTGTCGTTTAGTAAAACTGGCCCTAAGTTGTAATGTATTCCTGTGATGCAAAGCTGAATTTTCAGCATCATTACTCCAGTCTTCAGTGTCACATGATCCTTCAGAAATCATTCTAATATACTGATTTGCTGCTCAATAAATATTTGAGTATATGGAATAACCGTTTTATAAAAGCAATAAGCCCCGTGAAGCCGTGGTTTACAGTGAATTTATAACAGCTAAGGGGAGTTGTTAGGCACGACGCGGAGCATTCTTGGGGCTTATTGCTTTAATTTAATGACAGTTTATGGTTAGCTGTAGTGCTGTCAAACGATTAATCGCATCCAAAATAAAAGTTTTTTGTTTACATAATATATGCAAGTGTACTGTGTATATTTATTATGTATACACACATATGCAGTATATATTTTGAAAATATTTACATGTATACATTTATATTTATATAATTTATATTATATATAAATATATTTAATATATAAACATAACTTATTTTTCTTAAATATATACATGCATCTGTGTGCATTTATATATACATAATAAATATACACAGTACATGCACATATATCATGTAAACCAAACTTTTATTTTGGATGCGATTAATCGCGATTAATTGTTTGACAGCACTAGTTGGCTGTCTGTTTTTAAACAAGCACAGCTTTGTTTCATGCTGTGTATCTTTTGGCACCAAAATTGATATTCATATTCTACAAGCAGTGCTAATCCTTTCTTAAAATACAAGTGTGAAGTTTTGTCTAACCCATGGTTAACAGTGGCTATAACAAAGAGCTAGCTGTTAATTCAAGAAGTCCTGTAGCTGATCCTGCACATGTGCACAGGGCTGGGGCTGAGTGTTGGTTCCTGTAAATACTCACATGGTGCTGGTGGTGTAGGTAGCATCTCCTCCTTCCACATACTGCACCTGGTTAGTATACACATGCTGGACTGGCACCTGTTGGAGCTGCTGCTGTACCTGCGGCGCACATACACCAATACAGAAATTTAGAAGGCAAAATTGGCCCAATCACACTTCTGCAATAAACTTAATTCTGCAATAAAAACATGCCTGCAGCCACATTCAATGCACTAATTTAGTGTTTCCCAACCTTTTAGTCTTATGCACAGTTGCACACTCCAAAAAAACAATCTCAGCAGTAAGATTCAAGTACTCATCCTCAACAGCAATCCCAGAAATATGTTCATTTAACTCATATTACACTGGATAGCATTTTTCATTATTCATTATTAATATAATGGAAACTATCAAAAATTCACTTTTTTAACTAAAAACAATCAATACTGTGGGTGAAAAATAGACTCACAGTGTCAATTTCTCTAAAAATGGTTTGATACATTTGATGAAAATAGAGTTTATTAGAATTATTTTACTTAGCTTTTATTAAAGTTATTTTGCTTTTTAATATAAAATATATTGCTGATAATATAAAATTAATAAAAAAAATATTTAATATAAACAAATGTTTAATCTTTTTAAATCTTTTCTCAGTTAATCTTTTTTTTAAAAACATGTTAAAATCAAAAATTATTTATTTTAATATATTTATATATTATGTATATCTAGACTACCATACTAAAGTTTGGGGTCAGTACAATTTCTTTCTTTTATTTTTTTTATTAAATAATACTTTGATCTGCAATATTGATCAAAGTGACAGCAAAGACATTTATAATGTTTAACTAAGTGCTGTTCTTTTGAGCTTTCAATGAAAAGAAAAAGCAAAAAAAATGTATCAAAGAATCCTGAAAAAAAAAGTATCACTGTTTCCACATAAACAACAACTGTTTTCAACATTGACAATAATAAGAAATGCAAATTTAACATATTAGAATGATTTCTAAAGGATCATGTCACAATGAAGCCTGGAGTAATGGCTGCTGAAAATTCAGCTTTGCATCACAAAAATAATTTATATTTTATATTAGTTATTTTAAATTGTAATAATATTTCACATTGCTGTTTTTACTGTATTTTTAACCAAATAAATGCAGCCTTGATTAGCATAAAGAGACTTCTTTCAGAAACATTAAAAAATCTTACCAACCCCAAACTTTTGAACAATATTGTGTGTATTATATATTTTTAATTTAGGCTTCCCATAGACCCTTGGTTGGAAATCACTGCACTAAATGATCTAACACAATCAACTCACTCTCAATGACTGACCACAGCTATACCTACAACACTGTGTTTTAACTAAAGTCACCTACGCTATGGGCTGAGGGCATCTCATAGAGGTAAGACTGCACATCTGGCACAGGAGCAGAGGTGTAGGAGACCCTGTCTGTCTCCCAGCCCACTGACATGACGGGTACTGAGAAGGTGACGGGTGAATAGGTGACAGGTAGAGATGAGGGGAAACAGGATGAGCAATCCAGCAAACCGCCATTGACAGATGCATAGGATAAACTGTCTCCAAACGGGTTAGTGCTTTTCTCTAGTAGTACTACTGCTGGCCTACTCTCCAACCAGTTTTCTATCTGTCTCTGTCTCTTCACTTCACTCTCTCTCTGTGCATCACTTCCTCTCTGTGTGAGAAAAGAGTTCTGAAAGCAACCGTCAGAGGGTTAGACGACTGTAAGCTTAGTGAATTTTGCATTAAAGGAATAGTTAAGCCACTTTTTCTAGATGAACTATTCCTTTAATGCAATACATTCAAGATGGCTTGATTGTGAACATTCGAAAATGAAATGTGAGTCACATAAAATGCATTTTAAAGAGAGAGAACTTGGACATCATAGGCATCAATTTGACTGCAAAGCCAGTCTTTACTGGCATAATAACACACATTTATATGAGTGAGAGAGCTCACCTCCTGTGTCAGGTGCACCGATTGTAGGCTGGTGACATTCAGCTTGGTGCCCGGCTCTGTTTTCGTTGTCTGAGATGTGGCTTGCACTACTGACCTCTGTTAATAGATTACAGGGAAAAATGAAAAACATTAGCTTGCTGAAAAAGCTACTGTGAGAATGGCAAACCACAATCTAATTTTTCTAAATTGGGTCATGGTTTACAGCTCTAATGCTTTGTATGTGTGTATGTACTTTCACAGAATGAAGGAAGTTACAGAAAGAAGCTTCTCAGACACTCAATTTAGTATTTTTTTTTTTCCTCATTAAAAAGCTTTACCCCTGAAAAAATGAATAGCATTTGTGTTTAAAATAAGATAAAGACTCCAGTCATATCAGTGGCCTATTAAAATTTATTTGGGGCAGAGATGATCACATGTTAACCTGAATACCACTCGCTTTACCTCAGTAACCCTCCTGTTTTCAGAACCTTCTGTGAATAGTGTATTTCTATAATGCTATTGGTGAATGTAAACTTCCTAGCCAAAACACAAACACAATAAGACTAAATGAACCTTTAAGTATGTTTTAGGTATACTACCATTATGTCGATAAAACTTTATGTTTTTAAGTCTCTAATGCTCACCAAGACCGCATTTATTTGACCAAAAATACAGTAAAAACTGTAATATTTTGAAATATTATTACAATTTTTTTTTATTATTATATTTAATATATATTAAAATGTAATTTATTCCGGTGATGGCAAAACTTAATTTTCAGTTCCATTTTTGTGGAAAATGTAATACGATTTCCTCAAGATTCTTTGATGAATAGAAAGTTCAAAAGAACAGCATTTATTTGAAATAGAAATCTTTTATAATATTATAAATGGCCTTTACGGTCACTTTTAATCAATTTAATGCATCCATACTGAATAAATTAATTTCCTTTAAAAAAAAACGTACTAACCCCAAACTTTTAAACAGTAGTGTATGACTTACAGTTTATAAAAGCAATTATTACAGTAATGCATTTGCATCTGTGTATATTTACCAGAATCTTTTGGACATTCCAGCAGAATTGTTAAACTACCAATTTGTCTTTAACACATTTTTGTTTTTTGAGAGCAGCGGTTTCCTCTGTGGTTACCTCCCACTAGTGCTGTGCAGGGTATTCATGATGGTAGACAACAGCAAAATCCCTCAATCATCATGTCTCGTGCGTTTGAGGACTGCAGGGCAAGCCTTTTTCTAAGAACTGCTGTTCTACAAAACTCAGACTCAAACAACAAGCAGTGCTGAATTTCCTCCATCTGTGGACTGACTGAGGCCCAGGTGTTTAAAAACCCTCTCACAGTTTTCTAAGCTTCAACAACACTTCTTCTGATCTGATGAAATCTTATTTAATTAGACCATATTGAAGAATTAAAAAAAAGCACTTAGTATGAAAGTTTTGTATTTATATATTACAAGATAGGTCGAAAATACCTGAATTTTAATGCATACATTTGAACACTTTAAGTCATTTTAACTAAGTACTTTTTAAACATTCACATACTTAAATACATGATCTTGATCGCTTTCTTTATTTGTGTACAGATATGAAAAAAAAGGACTTCACTGACATATTTTGTTATCATGAGCTTGAATTTGAAGCCATATAATTCCAAAGGGTTTCTATAGATTTGTCAGTCTGTACATCTATCTACACTACTGTTCAAAAGTTTAGATTTGGAAGGTTGTTCCAATGTTTTTGAATGTCTTTTGTTCGCCAAGGTTATATCATGAAACATTATTACAATTCGAAAGAACTGTTTTCTATTCGAATATATTTTAAACAGTAATTCATGTGATAGCAAAGCTGAATTATGCAGTCACTTTTGATCAATTCAGTGCATCCGTGCTGAATATAGTAGTAGTGTATATGTTCAGTTATTTCTTGATTTAACCCTTGATGCTATTGCAGTGCAATCCAAGTAGTGCTTGTTTAGATGAGTGGTGGTGCCAGTGGCTTTGCTGTGTATTTGGCCACACAGGGTTAGGGTTTAGGGTTAGTGTTACCTGTTGGGCGGTCTGCACCTGCTGCACCACCTGTGTAGGAACTCCAGTCTGGACTACAGCAGCAGGAGGACTAGAATCTGACACAGAGTCACTGGAATGAAGAGAACCCTCTATAGGAAGGAAACATGGAGAAAAAGAAGTGTATTAATATTTGACAGATGTTTTATCCAACGTGACCTGCGTAGCATTCAAGGTACACATCTTTCTGGGAATCAAACTCATGACCTTGGAGTTGGTATAGCGTCATGCTCTACTGTTTGAGCTACAGGAATGATACATCTTTTTTTTTTTCTGAGCAGAGACTATAGCATGTCATTCATTCTTAGGTTGAGGTAAAATGTTTATTAACTCTTACCTGTAACTGTGACAACGATGTACTGTGGTGTATTCTGACTGCTGGACTGCGTAGGTGAGCTCTGAATCTCAGCTGTGACATATTGAGTCTGAGTGGGCGGGGCTTGTGTGGGCGGTGCCTGGGCGATTGCCTGGCTCTTCTGTGCTTGTGAGGGAGGGGGTGTGGTCTGGCCGGTGGGCGGGGCCGCTGAAGGCGTGGCCCCTGTAGTCTGAAGTTCAGCCAGGAATTGTTGGGGAGCTGCCGTCACGGTGGCAGCCTGGCCTGATGTGGGAGTCACACCGCCTCCCTGAGGCTGGGAGGTCTGCTGCAGCTCCCTCACATACGCTGGAGTTGCCATTGGACTGAATGCAATGAAAGGAGAAATTCATCACAGATTCACATGATAATATATACAATATAACAAACAAAAGAAAATAGAAAACTACATTTAAATGCAGTTGTATGATTGGAAATGGTGAATTTTGGTGTATTGCTAGGGCAATAGGTGCCTTTAATGTAAATGAATAAGTAAGGCATAATTTTCGCGTCAGGGTCCATATCACCGTTTCGGGGGTTTATTCTGTGATAACAACTGGCTGAATGTATATTATCAAGACAAGCAAACAAGTTTAAACAAGATGAACATTTTAAGTGACAACGTACAGTCAAACCAATTATTACACAGATTTTCACCAAATAAATAATTACGTTGAATAAAACACTGATTTGAGTTGAAACAGTTTTAAAATCTTATCTGTTTATTGTCGTAATCCATTAGAAATGCATAAAACAATTGTCCTGGCAACAAGAAACAATACAACAATATTATTAATAATACAGTTCTCCGAATTCAGTTTCAATACAGTCGATAAGTGAGACTCAAGATGGTACCAGCTGCATTTCTATAAATCAAGAGAGAGCAAGTTAGCTGTGTGATACGAGAGACATGGAAGAAGCTCTGGCCTCAGCTAACCGGATGAGCAGTCTGTTATTCAGCATTGCTACAGTCATTACTGGGGAATATTAGACCTCCAATGACGCAAATGACCAGTCAGAATCAAGCATTTCAGAGAGCCATGCAATCATTTGTTAAAGGGGTCATATGATGCGATTTCAATTTTTCCTTTCTCGCTTGAGGTATTCGGCCAATCATAACGCACTGGATAGCTGGCCAATCACAGCACACCTCGCTTTTCAGACCGATGAGCTTTGTAAAAATCAACGCGTTTCAGAAAGGCGGGGCATAGAGGAGAAACAATAATGTACAGTATGTGGAAAATAATGTTTTTTGAACCTTAAACCGCATAAACACATTTCATTACACCAAATACACAAAATAATGTTCTTTTTAGCAACATCATATGACCCCTTTAATTTCATCATTTGCTAGGTGTAGCGAATCACCATTGTCAATAGTGTAGGATGAGTTATGCACTGATGTAAATTAAGGTCTAAGTATGACCAATAATAATGAAGATGCTTTCCGTAGGTAATAACACTAACAAAGTTAGTTGAGTTTTCATTATTATCACTAATCACCACCTTGGCACAACCATATGGTTCCAGGAAAGCCCTAAAGACTACAACCATTGTTGGGCCAGCAAAAATAAGAGGAGGGAAGGTTAGGGCAGAGCGTTTGGTGTCCTATTACCAGAAACCTGATCACTGCTTGCAAATGAATGAGGGCACACACCATTGCCAAGAACACAAAGTGGGACTTGGGCACAAACAAAAAAAAAAAAATTAAGGTGCATTTCTCTAAAAATAGTGTCTTAGATATTTGAAAATCTAATCTCATTGTTTGTAAAACCTTAAATGTGAACCTGGACCACAAAACCAGTCATAAGGGTCTTTTTTTTATTGAGAATTATACTGAAATCTGAATAAATAAGCTTTCCACTGGTATATGTTTGTTAGGATAGGACAATATTTGGCTGAGATACAACCTGAAATCTGAGGGTGCAAAAAAAATCTAAATATAATCGAGAAAAACGCCTTTAAACTTGTCCAAATGAAGTTCTAAGCTATGCATATTAATTTAATCAAAAATTAAGTTTTGATATATTTACGGTAGGAAATTTACATATCTTCATAGAACATGATCTTTACTTAATATCCTAATGATTTTTGGCATAAAAGAAAAATCCATAATTTTGACCCATACAATGTATTATTGGCTATTGCTACAAATATAACCCCAGGGTCACAAATATCAATGTCAATAAAAAAAATCATTATCAAAATCAATGTCTAATTTCATCTGTCAGTACTAATTTACTTCATTACTGTTACTCTGGCAAATTTATGATTCAGTTATGCTATAATCAAATCAAGCCTGTATACATCTTGCTTCTTTTGATTTCTTATAACGTTACCATATGAATTTTTATCACTTGTTTTGTTATGCATCACTTGGTTCCTATAAACAAAAAAAACGCCCTTACATAACTATAATAATAATAATTCATTACATTTATATAGCGCTTTACATTGTGAGGGGGATCTCCTCATCCACCACCTGAATGCAAATATTTCTATAATATCATAATAATTATAATAAATACACAATGATCTAATATATAATAAGATGGATAATATTTCTATAATATCATAATAATTATCATCAATACACAATGATCTAATATATAATAAGATGCATAATAATAAAAATAAAAATTTATTATTTACATAAATTAACAGGTACTGGCTTCTATAACATACGCGTATGCACCCATAAGGCATATTTTAACCAATAGAAATGTCAATAAATAAAACATTTGGACCTGGTTAGTATGTCCATAAAGTAAACACATAAAGTAACAAAGTAGAAGAATCTACTCGTGGTCGTGCAAACATTTCGACCTGTGCAGTCAAATGTCCTGCTTTGCATCTTATTCACAATGCACTGCCACGAATGCTATTTCGGCACATTATATTACATATGGTTTCATATCCAATAGGCATCGAGTGGTCAGTAAAGGTTAAGAACAGCAGAGCATCTGGTTTATCCAGCAATAACGGCAGGTTTGTCAACGTGGTCGTCGGTGTAACTATGCCAACAGCGTTTATAACACCTAGCTCCATAGCAACGCTACGGATGGGTGGCTAGTATCCAGCAATGTGTATGGAGACTCACGACGTATTATTGCAAACAACACCCGCCATTTTGTACAACCTATCTAGTATATCGTCATAACAACGAGCAGCTTTGGCTGAGGCTGCTGGTAATAATGTCTATCCTTAGAGAGACGCGTCTGTCTAGCGCTGGACACGATCGCTTAGCAATCCCGCTCACCGATAATGATTATTGGACATCGATAGACGCTAAAAATATCATCATCCTCGCACCTGTTTCTGTTTTCCACACAGTGAGACTTCATATGAAATATAACAAACGGAATCACCTCTTATTCCGAGTGACTTTTCCAGCGGTACTTTGAATTTAATACGCTTTTTGTCAATGAATCGGTTTGTTGTTGTTGTTGATTCTCGTTGCTGGGTTCTTGTCACCACGACTACCGTGGCTATAGCGCTGCGTCCTCACCCGGGCAACTGTTGCTACCCACTCGCTGCGTTCCCGCCCCCTTTCTTCGCTCTGATTGGCCCGGATACAATAACTATAACGCCGCGTCTTCCTATTGGTGGAACTAGGCAGCCAATGCGACATACGGCACCGGGTTCGTCTGAAGCGTGTCAATCATAAGCACGCTTTTGTGTACTGATCTGAAATCAGTCGTGTCGGTAGGTTTTACGTCGTTCGCTATTACAGAACAACTGATAGAAAGCTGATCTGAATCCACTTTGTATAAGAGCTTTTAGCACACAATCCAAAAGGCTCTTCCTCCAAATAAAGCGAAATGTATGTAATAATAAATGTATGCAGTTTTGACATATTACAAAATGTATTTTGAAAACGAACCACACGTTTACTCCCTTTGACCTGAAAAATATGACTTCGAGTATTTGATCCTAAAAATAGCCTACACTTAAACATTTTAAATGTATTCATTCATTTAATTAATTTTAAAGACGAAATTGAAATCAGGGTCATCATAGAACATGTATCCAAATTATTTTTTGTATGAATTGCATATATTTAAAATAACTTAATAGATCCAGAGAAAAGTGAGTGTGATGGACCTGTAATTTTGTTGTTCTTTATAAGATTTCAAATAATATATGCTATTTTATATATATATATATATATATATATATATATATATTATACATATATTTCCATGGCCTCCATCCTCCATGCGTCAAATATTGTGGTTAATGTCTCTCGAAATGTCACGCTGTTGTCATTGTTATCTTCACATTCGTTAAAAATGCATTATTCTGTTGTCATTTTGGATATTGGTGACCTTTGTCCGTGTGGATGCAAGGATTGCTCGTGTGCAATGGACTGTGTTATCACACTTTGAAAATGCCATGCTCGCTACATCACTTTGTCTCTTAACCTCTACACCTCACAGTCATCACTTGGTCTGGAAAAAATGGTCAAAATAAATGATGCATTGAAGTGCAAAGAAGGTAAAACAAGCATTTGGGTGAACTCTGGACACAGTTTTTGGGGAGCTGTGCTCTTGCTTTCATAAGTGATTAGCCTTACAATTTTCGCCTGGTGGACAGGCGTGTGTGCGTGTAAAGTGTGTTTTTATTTTTTTTTAATAAAACACACTTTACTCCATTTAACCTGAACAAAACATGCCTTAAAAATTTGACCATAAAAATACATCAACTATACATTTTAACTTTAATGATTAATGTAACTATTCTTAATTAAGAATAAATCAATGTAATTCAAAGAATAGAGCATGATAGCAACACCAAGGTCATGGATTCGATTCCCAGGTAATGTATAATGCCGATAAAATGTGTATCTTGAAGGCAATATAAGTTGCTTTGGATAAAATCATTATAGATTAAATATAAATAAACAAATACATAAACAAATAAAACTTTCATATATGGCAAAATATACTGTATGTCTAAAAATAAACACACTATACTCACAGGTCAAAACCTGAACAAAACATGCCTTAAAATATGTATCATAAAAATACATCACCTAAACATTTTAACTTTAATTATGAATTTAATTATTTTAATTAAAAAAAAATTAAATAAAAAATAAAAATAATAAACCTGTAGCTCAAACAGGAGGGCATGGTGCTAGCAACATCAAGGTCATGGGTTCGATTCCCAAGAAATATAATTCTGATAAAATGTGTATCTTGAATGCAATGTTAGTCTCTTTGGACTAAAGCATTATATACAAAATGTAAATAAAACTTTAATTATTAATTTCATTATTTAAGAAAAAAATAAAGCATTCCACTATCTCAAACAGTACAACTAATGGTCATAGGTTCGATTCCCAAGAAATGTGAAACACTAATAAAAATGTGTATTTTGAATGCAAAGCAGGTCGCTTTTGACAAAAGCATCAGCCAAATGCATAAAAATGCAAATAAAAAGATTAACTGCAATGAATTTAATAGAAAAAAACAGACAGACATCTTAATTCAATCACTGTATGTAAAGAGAAATCACTGTTGTTCATGCTGCAATATCCTGACATGAGTCGTATGGCAAATATGATTCATCAATTTAAATGAAGAAAGAGTGTTTCGTGTCACAGAATGCCCTTATAATTACACATTCACCTTTCCTGCTCATGCTTTTGTTACTGGAAAGGTCTCTGCCACTATCTTACAGGGTTATCTGTGACTCCTGCTTGGGGGGGTTTGAGCATGTGTGCCCCTCACCTCTTTATAAGTAGAAACAGGGGCCTGGGGAAAAAATCACAGAACTTCGCCATCAAACAGGCACCTGGTTCCAAACCAGCAGGAAACCAGCTTCTGAACATCAACCGCTGCTGTCAGAGAAGATCTGCTCTCAGCAGGATGTGGAAAACCACAGCGCTTGCAGTATGTCTGCTGCTGGCTGGAGTACAGGCACTGGACGGCCCCTCGTACGGAGTCAAATTATGCGGCCGGGAGTTCATCCGCGCTGTCATTTTCACCTGCGGAGGCTCTCGGTGGAAGCGCTCCTTGACAAACACAGGTTAGCTTTATAGACCTTTGTAAAACTTGTAAAATTTAAAGACAATATCAATTTGAAAATATACAGAATATTAAACATTTTTTGAGTTGTAACACGATTACTAATACACTACAAATTATTTTGGATATACCTATTTAATCTCTATTTTTACTATGTTGAGCAATAGTAGATTTCATATTAAAAATAGAGAATACATTTTAATACAGAAAAAAAAAATGCTGGATTTGAACATTTTTGCAACCCAAAACTTTAAAATACAGAATTCTAGGTTGTAACAATATTACAAACATTTGGATATGTCTATTTAATCTCTATTTTTACTATGTTTTAAACTAGTAGATTTTACATTCAAAATTATGGACTAAAATTATGAAAATTCAAAAGTCTGGGCTCAGTTCAATTATTTTCTTTTTTGAAAGAAAAATTCACACTTTTATTTAATAAAGACACGTTGAATTGATCAAAAGTGACATTAAACACATTCATAATGTTACAAATAAATGCTGTCCTTTTGACCTTTCTATTCATCAAAGAATCCTGAAAATATTAAGCAGCACAACCGTTTTCAACATTGACAGTAATAAGAAATGTTTCTTAGCAGCAAATCAGCATATTAGATTTCTGAAAGGTCATGTGACTGGAGTAATGATTCTGAAAATTCTGCTTTGCATAACAAGCATTTTAAAAGCCATTACAATAGAACAGTTATTTTAAACTGTAATCATTTTTCACAATATTATTGTGTTTACTGTATTTTGAATGAATAAATGCAGCCTTGGTGAGCATAAAAAAGACTTCAAAACACACACACACACACGCACACAAATCTTATCAACTCCAGTGGTGTATGATCGTAAAATGTTCAAAACTAGTCAAAACTCTCATATCTTTAAGATTCTTCAAAGTGTATTGTAATGTACTCTTTAGGAGTTGTACATAAAACATTATTGGAGTACGTTCCACAAGAAAATAAGTCTTTCAATTTCAAAATTCCATGTTTAATTCAATGTGTAACTTGCTATTTCTTTAATGAATTGTTAAAACTGACAACTTTTTAGTGAAAAGAGTTTCTTCACCAAAAATCATAGTGATGTATGTATAGTTTTACAACATCTCTTATTTCACAGATGAAATACTGGACTTATTCAGCTCGTATGACAGTAATGCTCCAGACAGCGCAGTGCTGTACGGTGCTGCACCGTCCTCCCAGCATGCCCCTGACTCAAATCTTCCATCACTGGCACAAGGGGAACAGGAAGGTGGCGTGTTCAGCAGGCCAGTGCGCTCTCTCATTTCACAGGAGGTGCTTGAAGCGTTGCGTACCGTGGACAGAAAAGGACGTGATGTAGTGGTGGGACTGTCCAACGCTTGCTGCAAGTGGGGCTGCAGCAAAGGAGAAATCAGCTCCCTTTGCTGAGAGACTAACCTTCTCTATAGCATGAGTGAATAAAAAAAAAAGTGTGTGTGTGTTTAATTGTTCTATCTCATATTGTGCTTGAGACTTGTAATTGGTTTGCATTGAACTCCCATGCATTTTGCAGTTAATTTAACTAAAGATTTTATAATGTTTGATGTTGTAAAGTAATAAGTTACTTTTTGCAATCAATTCAGTGGGTTCGCTTTTTAATCTTTATCTAGAGTATATTTCATTCTTGAATAAAGATGATTATTTGCATTAATCGCTAATGAATCAGTTCGTGCTCATTTGCATATTTAACCATAACAATTTATGAAAACGTTTAATAAAATAGCTTCATATGTAGTTTGCATATGACCTGAAATGTCCTCTTCAAGAACTGGACATTCATGTCTTCTACTTAACAGAAATTAGGTCTTTTCTACAGTGTAAAAATTTCATATATCTTTAAACGCTGCAGAACAGGACATCACGTGTAAGAACTGGACATTGGTTTTCTCTGCTTATTAGAAATGGGGTCTTTATAGTCCTCTAAAGTGAAATAATGTTTCATATCTCGAAAACGCTGCCGTAAAAAGTTTTTATATGAGGTACGTATATACTATGGCATGTCCCCTATATTAAGAACTGACCATTGGTTTTCTCTACTTATTAGAAATGGGGTCTTTATAGTCCTCTAAAGTGAAATAATGTCCCATATCTCAAAAATATTGTAGTAAAATTGGTTCATATGAGGTGTGCATATCGTGTGGGCCGTCCCGTATAAGAACTAACCTTTGGTTTTCTACTAATTGGAAATGGGGTCTTTCTAGCCTCCGAAAATGTAATAATGTTCCATGTCTTGAAAACACTGCAGTAAAATGGTTTCATATGAGGTGAGCATATCATATGGGCCGTCCCCTATAAGAACTGACCATTGGTTTTCTCTACTTATTAGAAATGGGGTCTTTATAGCCCTCTAAATTGAAATAATGTCCCATATCTCAAAAACGCTGCATTAAAAAGTTTTTATATGAGGTACGTATATACTATGGCATGTCTCCTATAAGAACTGACCATTGTTTTTTTTTACTTATGAGAAATGGGGTCTTTACAGCCAGGGGCGCATTAATGCACGGGCTTCAAGGGGCTGAAGCCCAGGGGCCTACACTGGAAAGGGGGCCCACTGGCTGCAGGGAAATTATATTTTTTGAATAATTATTTATATGGGAGTTTGCAGCAGTGACAACAGCGTTCAGTAAACAAACTCACACACTCATTTTCAGCAACGCCCTGGTTGTAGTAGCCTATATAGTGAATGGCTCAGTTTAGGTTCCCCCCACACAGTTTGTATGGTTGGTGTGTTCCACGTGTTCTATCGATATACTGTAAGCGGAATGCACAGTGCATTCGCTCGTAAATAACCGCAGCACGAGAGTATCTTTATGTCAACACGCAGATTAACAGAAACACAACACTGCTGTGTGAAAGGAACTGGACCGGACAACATTCTGTAACGTCATAAAGTGAGAGTTTAGTAACTTGCTTGGATGTAATCTGTGTCGTCTGTGTTCCATAAATAGTGCTGCTTCAAAGTCTTGTTCCACAAGCGCCACCTTGTGGCAAAGAGTGAATTTGCATATTCGCTTACATTCACATTTTATGCAGAACAGTGTTGTGAATGGCATATTAACAATATTAACAATATTAATATCAACTGGCATATTAACAAGGCAAAAAAACGAAATTTGACAAATAATTGTTAGGAGGCTCAAAAAAAGAAGGAAAAATAGGTTTTCTGTGGTCGGGGGGCCTACTGTAATGCTGCAGCCCAGGGGCCTTTGGTTATCTTAAGGTACCCCTGTTTACAGCCCTCTAAAGTGTAATAATATCCCATATCTCTAAAACGTTGCAGTAAAATTGTTTCATATGAGGTGTGCATATAATATGGGATGTCCCCTTAAAGAACTTGCCATTTTTTACATTTTTCTACTTATTAGAAATTAGGTATGCTATTTATATATGAGGTATGTACATAGTGTGGGATGTCCCATAAAAGAAATGACCTTTTGTAATACTCTGGAATGAAATAAAGGCACATTTTCACATAAACTATTTATTTATTATTTGTTTGTTTTGGTTTGTTTGTTTGTTTGTTTTTTTATGGGAATACTTTATTTATTATTGGCGTTCACTTTCTGAGCAGAGGTTAAACCACATTATACAAAAAGGCATGCAAGAGTAACTGTCACTGTACTGCAGTAGGACAAATAAAAACGCAATTCAGGTATTTAAGAGAGTATATACGTAATGTTGTCAATTTGTCCTGCTGTAAACTCATATCCACAAAACAATGATTTGAAAGATAAACCTACAGAAAGGAAAAAAACAGAAAACCATTACTCAAATAAACACACACCTGTCAAAGACACATAAATACAATGTATAATAAAGCAGAAGTAAAAAAAAAAATGGAAACATGACATCTTGTTATATTATCTCTCTATTCTGAGCGTCTACATGAAAGCTATCTGAAAGGGTTAGTTCACCCAAAAATGAAAATTATTCCATAAATTACTCACCCTCAAGTCATCCTAGGTGTATATGACTTTCTTCTTTCAGACGAATCCAGTCGGAGTTATATTAAAAATAGTCTTTGATCTTTCAAGCTGTTTCATGGCACTCAGCGGGTGTTGCATGCATCAGTCCAAAAGAAGTTAAATAAAAAACCCCCATATAAAAACCCCCCATCCATAAAAAAAGTGTCTCACACGGCTCCGGGGGGTGAACAAAGGCCTTCTGTAGCGAATCGAAAATGTAATAATCACTTGAAGCTAGCTTGCGGTCATAAGAAAGTCATATACACCTAGGATGACTTGAGGGTGAGTAATTTATGGGCTAATTTTCATTTTTGGGTGAACTAACCCTTGAAAGTGCGTTCTTTCTGTGTTGCTCCTGAAATTTCCGTAATCATACTAATACACGCGTACACTCATTTCAGTCGCGGCTGGCTAGACCGTGTTTTTCTGAACTGCGGCTGGCTTGACCACAGTCTGATAATCCATTTTGTACGGTGTGAGTTCAGGTGGCCTGAACCCACAGAAACTAAGGGCTTGATCGCTTGTCTACTTGCATTACGTATTTCCTGTAGTTGTATTTGTTCATGTGAGTGTGAAGACCATAGATATATATAGGCCTATATACATGTCTATGGCGAAGACCACATGTGTGCATAGTGCTTTATTTTGATTTCACTGCTTTGCAGTTTAAAATAATCCTCTAAATGTCTGTTCAGTATTCTCTATAACAGATGACACAATTTAGTAATTATGGTGCTTCTAAAAGCACTTAGGCTACTTTCTATTGCATGCACTCGCTCTCAAAGGGCCGACCGCACTTGTGGGTATTTGGACAAGCCCTGGCAGTGTTGCCAGATTGGATGGACGATTTCCAGCCCCAAAACTCAAAAAAACCCGCCCAAAACTTTAACTGTCAAAATAATGTGATGAAATATGTAAATCAAGGTTGATAAGGGCCATTTTTAACTCCTTAAAACAAAATAATGACGACAAAATAATATAAATATAACGTTAGATAAATTTCCCAGTAACGGATCAAACCGGGGCAAATAGCCTACATTAAAGAGAATTAAGCTACCGAACATGAAGAAAATATGCAAGCAGATACTGTCAAAACAGCAATCAAGAAATTAACCGATACCCTCGAAACAATATGCATCATTTTCAATGTCAGCTGTCAGAATATTCCAATTTAAATGCAAAAAGTGCCCAATATAGGCTAAGTGATAGGAAAAAGCAACGTAATTAAGTTATTTCACACTCGTTCATGCACACACCATGACAGTCAAAACTGAGTCGAATTATAATTATGACTCGTCAAAATACAATTGTTCCTATCTTAAATTATATTTATGGATAGTCAAAACAAACTTTTAAATGCTAAAACGGCTTGCGATATACCCTTCGAAATCCTTCATTCCGAAGAGACCTTTGAAGTGGCCAGTTTTGAGCACTTCGGTTTGGAACGACCCTTCAATATGGCGGCCATGAATGTTTTCACTCCGAAGTGCCCTTCGGAGGGCGATATGTCCAAATATATATATTTGGAACGCACAGTTAGTTTCCCTAAAGTTCATTGCGCTGAAGGAACGTGCTGAAAATAATTACCTTTGACCTGATTGGCCAACTGGCTTTGCGTAGGCGACGCATGGGCGGAGTCATTGAATGCATGTACTGAGATCTGTGAACTGCTGTGTGTACAGTACACCATACAGTCTATGGTTTACACGTAAAGCGAGTTCAAGATTGTCATTTGAAGAGGTTTGAGAACGGTGTCTGAAAATTAAACTTATAACTATAACATATAGGAAACCAAAAGGAACAAGATCACAGGAAACAGAAAATGCTCGTTCCAGGATGCAGAGAGCGATGTTACTATTTTTAATTGATTCGTGAAAATAAGACTGACGACTGAGAAAACCGCCGAAGTTCCTTATTGTGCGTCTTGCGGGACAACGATGTCTCTCTGGAGTGAAACAAATACATGTCTGATCGTGGACTTTCCCTGACTGTGAGCACTCGCTTAACCGGGACGTTGCGTCACACTGGACTTTTTGCGCAATGGCATGGCAGAATGTAAAAGTGCATTTTGTTACTATACTTTACTTGTGGATATGTTCTCAAGGTGGGCAAAAGTGTTTCGTTTTCAATATAGTTTCATTCTACCAAATACAAATAAGTATCAGTATATAAATATATTGTTATTTGTGAAATAAAGTGCATTGTTTCGTAATTTAAAACTTAAAATCTTGTGTTTTGTAAAACTATGTACTGTTTTCAATTATATATAGTTTGAATTTATGAAAGAATGCATTTTATTTCACAAATAAAGCAAAATGCTTCAGAAAAGTAAAGTTCTACCAGAATTTGTTGGCAGATGCCACTTAGTTTGCAATCTATGCAACATGTATTCATTAATAAGAGTCCAAATACTTTTTTGGGTCACTTTATAGTAAGACAAAGTAGTGTTTTTGTTCTGCAGTAAACAATACAGCAAATATTCACAGGACAGACCATTGAATTCATATTAAACTTTGCATGTTTTTATGGAAGCGAGTTCATCATAGTTCTGTTGCCTCAACTTGTTGTTCTTGTCTTTTGTTGTCTTTTTTATTTGTTTAGTCTCTTGTGAAGTGGCTGTAAACTGCTGGTGGAATAAAACTCTTCCTGTGGGCCACAATGTGTCTGTTCTGTGCCACATGAGTACACAAGGAAGAGCAAACAGTTGTGGTCTCTGCCAACTTTATGTTATCAAACTTGACCACAGACATCAGTTTCCCAGCACATGTGCCAGTACCAAAGAAACCTTCAACTTTTCCATCGCAGCAGAACACAGAGAGCATATTCACTGCATGTGTAATGGAAATACATCAGAGACCTGCAACGTTACAGTAAGAGGAGGCTGTGAGTATGACAGAATTGGCCATTTATTCTCTAATGGCCACATTACTAGGTCTGGGAATGTTTTCTGCTCACACCGGTCCCAGAAATGAGGGGTGGTTTACAAGAAAAACTGTAATTACATACAGCATTTGGGTATTCATAAACAGACGTTTTCCGCCTAGATCACATACAACAGCACACACATTATAAATGGAAGAATTACTATAAGGGGTTTAATTAAAACACAATATGCATATTTTCTTTCTAAGCCTTCTGGGATTCCTTGCTCTGTATGATTCCATTGTAAGTGCACAGGTCTGGGTAGTAACTGATTATATATAATCTGGATTATTTAATCAGATTACAAAAATTAAATACTTCCAATAAGAAAATTCTAAAATTAGAATATTCACAAAGCAGTAAATTATTCCTAAAACGTTTGTATTTTTATATTAAAGGGTTAGTTCACCCAAAAATGGAAATTCTGTCATTAGTTACTCACCCGACATGAGGGTGAGTAATTAATGACAGAATTTTTATTTTTGGGTGAACTGAACCTTTAATATGGTACAAAATCATCCTATTCAGATCAATGTTACGTCAAAAGTAATCAAAAAGTAGTCAGATGATATTACCTAAAATGTGTATTGTAATAGATTACGTTACTAACTACAATTTTTATGATGTAATCTGTATTCAGAAATGGACTACAATAGACTTTAGTTCAGGTTAGACAGCATATTGAATTTAACACGGATGAAAACGAGGCTGTGAAGGATAGACGTGCAGTCACTGAAATAGCACGCACTGTGTTAAGGTCCTAGATCATGCGATTTTCACACCTCACAACTTCCAAAACTATTTTAATGAAGTTTTTGACTACTTAAAGCTTTTATCAGAAAGGCGTTTCATCAGTATGTTTCGCTGAACGCACTGTACTTCTGTCACTCACAGCCTTGTTTTCATTCCTGTCAAAAATTAAACATGGCGCTACCCTGACTAAGGTCTATTTGTAAGTGACCCACCCATGCATTACTGAAAGTTGTGTTGCTGTAGCTCAAACAGCATGGGGTGATTCCCAGGGAATGCATGCATTGATAAAATGAATGCAGTGTGAGTCATTTTGAATAAAAGCATCTGCTGAATATGTAACTGTTCATTATTTTATTTGGTAAGAGAGCTTAATTAGTTTGAACCTGAACATTCTTTGAGAAATGCTTATGTGTTGAGATGTTGTCCAAAATTAAACAAGGAAGGGGAAGTGTGCGGAACCCTGCTGGCTTTCTTTTGCAGATTTCCCCACATGACTTCCTGTTTTCTCAGTATAAAAAGTAATGGTGCTCTTGCAGCACATTGTGTTGGTTTGAATGGTTATTTCTTCTCCCTTTAACTTTACTTCTTTTGGTTGGTTTCCTTCCAGAAAGTTTGACATTCTTCCATCTTTTACAGATCCACCATTTCCCCCGTCTCGCCCTGATTGTGCTATTGAAGACTTAGAAGATGAAGACATTTACTGCTCTTGGACTAAATCCAATGAGTCAATGATTCCAACTGTTTACACCCTTCACTGGAAAAATTATGATGGGTGTGTGTTTTCTTATTAAAACCACCATTGCATTATATATGGACATTGTGACGTTGTGGACCTATGTGAGCATCTGACAATGTTTTTGTGTGTGTGTGTGTGTTTATATACAGGAATGTTAAATCTAGGGAGAGCAGTAGTGAGAGTGCAGTCATAAACCGGCGTGATTATGTGAAAAGCACTTACACTACAGCATGGGTCACTGCCAAAAACGTGCTGGGTTCTGCACAGTCTGAAAGGTCTTTCTTCAACACGGGCCATATCGGTAAGTCATGTTTACTCTATTATAAACAATTGCTTGCTTTCTTTAAACCATGCGCACAATTGTATCACAATTTATTGGCTCTGTTTGAAGCACTGCACAGTACTCGGTATACATACAATTCTGATGATTATTACTATGAATAAGTGTAAAAAAAGAGTGCATCACCTCCAGAGTCTCTCTCTCATATTCATCTCCCTAGATATATACAAGCGTTCAGAGGTTTGGTGTCAGTAAGGTTTTTTTTTGTTTTTGTTTTTCTTCAAAGAAATGACTACTGTTATTCAGCAAGGATCCAGTAAATTTGTCATATTTTAAATAAATACTGTGCTTTTGAACTTTCTTGTCAAAAGAATCTTTAAAAAAAAGTTAGCATTGTTTTCTCAAAATATTAAGCAGGACATCTGTTTTCAGCATTGATAATAATAATAATAATAATAATAATAATAATAAATGTTTCTTGAGTATCAAATCAGTATATTAGAATGATTTCTGAAGGCTCATGTGACACTGAAGACTGGAGTAATGATAATAATAGTTAAAACATTCAGCTTTGTCATCACAGGAATACATTACATTTTAAAGTGAACTATTATTTTCAAATTGTGATTATATTTCACAAATAACAGTATTTCTTTTTTTACTGTATTTTGATCAAATAAATGTAGGCTGGGTGAGCATGAAAGACATCTTTCAAAAGTATTTTAAAAATCCCAAAGAAGTGTTTTATCAGGCAAAAACTGTAAGTTAACTTTGTAGCTAGCTTTTAATCTTTTCCCTCTTTTTTCCTAGTACGGCCAGACCCTCCATACAATATAAACCTCACCTCTGACCCACTGGAGTTCATCTGGGACATGAACTGTGACAGAGTGGGCCACTTGGACAAGAGCTGTCAAGTGCAGTACCATGCACGCAATCACATGCTGGACTGGATTGAGGTGAGAGGAGAAAGAGAAACCAGACTGATTAGACTCTATTCTGATGTGGAAGAGTATTTCAACAGTTTTCAACAATGTGAATATATTCTTGCCATGACCATAAAAATACAATCAAATATAATTTTATAGTGCCAGAGATGTGTCAAATATGAAACTAATTGTGTCTCTGTTGAATTCTCATTGTGCAGGTGGATGATTGCCAGGTCATGTTTGTGTTGGAGGATCCCCAGCCATTCACACAGTACAGTTTTCGTGTTCGCTGCCACTGTGGATACGAAGAGGAAGTCATGAGTAACTGGAGTTCAGTGTATTCAGTCAGAACGCCCCCTGCAGGTCAGAGAAAGACCCCTCATTGCATTAATTAAAGACATTGATGCACTCATTTATTGCTCAGTTATTGTTTTATTGAAGATGGTCTTGATGCACTTGATTCACTCAGCAGTAGAATATGGATGTCAGTCGTGTTTTACAGTCTTAAGTAGAAAAGCAATTCAGTTTTAAACAAGAGCCACCACCATGTTCTGTATCCAGAATGACTTCCTGTAATGTTTTGGGTCGTTTTGAGTCTCTTATACACTACGAGGCTGCAATTATTAGATCAAAAATACAGTAACAACAATGAAATGTTATTACAATTTTTTTCTAATTTAAAATGTCATTTATTCAGCACCCTTCAATCATTTATCATTTCTTTCATTCATTGTTTTCTAAATATCGTGCCATATAACAAAATCAATGATGATGACTGTAATTTTCTCTCTTTTCAGCACCGGTTGGACAGCTGGATGTTTGGAGTGACTGTGCCCCTAATTCTGACAAGTCTTCCTGTAACGTCTATTGGAAGGTAGGGTGTACTCCCATAATGCATCAATCTAATTGGTTCTTGTTTAGTGGGTCAGTCACAATTCAGCAGATCATGAATGAACTGTCAACAGTCTTTCGCTGTCATTTGCTGTCTCTCAGGAAATGCCCCTGTCTCAGGCTAGAGGGGAAATTATCAACTATATTGTAACTCTGAAGCTTAAAAATGGTCAAGCAGAGGTCAAGCAGGTCACCAGGCAACGGAGACACACTGAAAGTTGGCAGCTCGCTGAACAGAGCTGCCTGCAGCTCAGACACTTCGCGCTCAAGCCAGGTGTTATGGGAGTTTTTGTGTCAGCCAACACCTCAATGGGCACATCGGACCCCACATACATGCTGTTTGCTGAGAGGGGTAAGTCAATGCTAAATTCTGATTAAATGTTACAAAGTTAAATTAAAATATTGTATGAAATATTAATAGTAATTTGCATTTGTCTTTCTATTTCAAATAAATGCTGTTCCTTTGAACTTTCTGTTCATCAGAGTATAATTTTTTTGTACAAAAATATGAAGCAGCTCAGCTGTTTTCAACATTTATAAGAAATGTTTCTTGAGCAGCAAATCAGCATATTAGAGTGATTTCTGAAGGATCATGTGACACTGAAGACTGGAGTAATGATGCTGAAAATTCAGCTTCGCTTCACAGGAATAAAATACATTTTTAAATATATTAAAATACAAAACAGTTGTTCTAAATTGCAATGTTTCACAATGTTACTGTTTATACTGTATTTTTGATCAAATGAATGCAGCCTTAACATTAAAAGCTTACCAACCCCAAACTTTTTGAACAGTAGTGTATAATTATATCATATTTATGCCCTGTAGGACAGAGAATGCCTGAGGTGAATCTGAGTGTAATAGGTGAGAGCCAGGCGCTGCGGGTCTCATGGTCCATACACCCACAGTTCTCTGAGAGTGTCCTGGAGTATGTGGTACAGCATGTGTCTGTAGTACCTCACTGTCTGTGCCTGAACTGGGTCAGAGTAAAGAGAACCCAGAAATCTGTCACACTCACAGGTTTGTGTGTGTGTGTGTGTGAGAGAGAGAGAGAGAGAGAGAGAGAGAGAGAGAGAAAGAAAGCTGTAGTTTGTTCTGATGCTGATGCTGATAGTGATTTTGTGTTTGTCTCCATCCACAGGTGACTTCTGGAACTACACAGCTTATAATGTGTCACTGTTTGCAGTCTTCAACAACCACAGCACTTTCCTCACGTCAGCCATTGCATACACACTTGAAGGAGGTATGACATCTCTTAAAGGGACAGTTCACCCAAAAATGACCCTGGACCACAAAAACCAATCATAAGGGTAAATTTTTGGAAATGGGGATTTATACATAATCTGTAAACTGAATTAGCTTTTCATTGAATTGTTTGTTAGGATAGGACAATACTTGGCCAAGATACAACTTTTTTAAAATCTGGAATATAAAGTTGTCCAAATTAAGTTCTTAGCAATGCATATTACTAATCAAAAATTAAGTTTTGATATATTTACGGTTGGAAATTTACAAAATATCTTCATGGAACATGATCTTTATTTAATATCCAAATGATTTTTGGCATAAAAGAAAAATCTGTAATTTTGACCCATTCAATGGGCATTTGGGCTATTGTTACAAATATACCCATATGGCTTATGACTGGTTTTGTGGTCCAGGGTCACATATAAAAAATTCTGTCATTAAAGGCACAATATGTACGATTGTTTTTATTAAAATATCCAAAAACCACTAGAACAGTTTATATATTTTGCTGACTTGTGTACTTACATTATCCCAAATGTTTCGAAGAATGTTTAAATCCGGAGAAATAAGCCATTTTAACTAGTGACACGGACCGTGTCTATAGTGTCATTGTGTCGCCTGCCAATGACATCATAACCCCTCGATTTCCGGTTTTGTTTTGTAGAAAACATGGAAACACCTCAGGGTGTCTGCGGGGTCTTAAAAAGTATTAAAAGTTGATAAATCAATTTAGATCAAATTAAGGCCCTTAATAAGTATTAAAAAGTCTTAAATTACATTTTCCAAGGTATTACATTTTGTATCGTCTTTTCATTATGTATATTTGTCCGAATAGTGGGGTTTTGTGTAGTTTATTTATGGAATCCCGCAAGATTTGACGTCATCTCTTACGGCGCTCACTGACTGACTGCACCGCCACTGATAGCGCGGGGCTTGTTGATCCCGCTCTCGCTGAACTTCTGACCATTACCGCATGCTCCCATCCGCTCCCGCGATTTTTGTGTCTGCTCCCGCAAACATTCTAATATTGTATATAATTTTCGCGCATCAGGGCGCCGCTATCAATATGTGAATGAGCGCTCGCTGTCGCAGTTCACTTTCGATTTCGCGCACACACTGTGTAAAGGGAGCACATGTTACGATAAAAGATATTTGTCAGTGAGCTCGGGATCTGTTGAGGAGCAAATCCTCCAACATCTTTGTCAGTTATCGCTCCTTACTTTTGACCCGTGATCGGTTATCAGTCAAATATGACTTCTGCAGCTTGTGTTGGGTGCAGGGTTGTTGTTGGCCACACTAGCAGGAAGCATTTGAGCTGTGTCTTTATGATAAATGTGCATAACAGGGACTGTAAAATATGTATTTTAGGTATGGAAATGACATTTCTTTTATTTGGGACATAGTCGACGGCTTTCAGCCTCACCCTGCTTCATTCTACTACGTTAATAAATAATTACCTCATCCATGAACATGATTTCTGCCCGAGTTCCGTCGGATTGCTGTGGGGATGAAGACGACAACTCCCATGATTCCACACTCAATCACGCCGTCATCTAACTACACCTTTGTTTCTTTGTTTATTTTGAATACGCGCCCTCTAGTGGCAAAAACTTACATATTGTGCCTTTAATTACTCACCCTCATGTTGTTCCAAACCTGTAAGACCTTCGTTTATCTTTGGAAAACAAATTAAAATATTTTTGCTGAATTCGAGAGCTCTCTGACCCTCCCATAGACAGCAATGTAATTACCACGATCAGGGTCCAGAAACGTAGTAAGGACATTGTTAAAATAATCTATGTGACTTTGGGGGTTCAACCGAAGAAAATAAAAACAACAACTTTATTCAAAAATGTGTCTCCTCCACGTCACCATGGAGCCATTTTGGAGATTATCACATATGTAAACAACGTATGCTGTTCTGTGTCAGCTGTGACACGTTTAGTGGATACTCTCCAAAATCGTGCCAAAATATCCTGTAAACAGATTTTCTAGTCATATAGCCTTCATGTTTGTATCATCTCTTCATCTTCCCTGCCAGTTCCTCCTAAAGTCCCTCAAATCCATGTGAAGAACATCTCTCACTCCTCTGCCACTTTGATATGGAGCCCCATCCCTGTACATGAGAGCAACGGTGTCATCCTGCATTACTTAGTTGGCATCAAAGAAACAGGTATGCCATCACAGGAATAAATGACGTTTTAAAATATATTCTATTATATTTAAAATTGTAATAATATTTCACAATATTGCTGTTTTTACTGTATTTTTGGTGAGCAGATTGTACTGACCCCATACTTTGATTAGTAGTGTATATCTGTGTCCTTTGTCCTATGCAACAGGGTTTAATATAAGCAGTGACAGAACCAGTATGCAGTTGTCACAACTGCAGCCGGCCCAGCAGTACCACATCTGGGTGAGCGCTGTGAGCGCTGCTGGTGAAGGCGCCAGGAGCTTCACCACTTTCTCCACCGATGAAAAAAACAGTAAGTTCGAGAAAGATGAGCTGTTTCTTTCTTCCTTTGGGATTTACATTGCATGCATAATCCAAAATACTAAGACATCCTTGTTTTGCATATAGTATGTAGATCACATATTCAGCTTTAGGTAGTAAACCAGTCGTTTCTATCCATCTCATCTCCTAGGTTATGCTACCCTGTTGGCTGTATTCATAATATTGACGTTCCTGGTCTTATTATTTTGTATTTTTAAGTTGGTGTAAGTATAACCTTTCATCATAATTCTATATGGCCAAAAATACATGGACACCCCCTTGTAAGGGCTGGTTCACACAGAACATTTTTCCATTCCACTGCGCTCCGTAGTTTTTTTTTTTTTACATAAATAGCTAGACAGATGTGTTTGACTGTTGTGCTTGCATCTTTTGCAGCATCTCTAAAAATAAGTTAAACTCTCAAAAAAAAATCTTGTCTCGAGTAGGGCTGAGCAATATAGCTAAAAAATTTATCAACGATATAATGTTTCATATCGTTCGGTATCGATAATTATTGACATTTTTATAACCTTTTTTTAAACAAAAAGCAATAGGACATTTTTTTTTTTTATTTAACCACTGTATTTATAATTAACACAATTTATCGAGACAAACAACATATTTTTTGTTTTAACAATCAAACACAATAAAAATTAAACAAATATCTAATTTCTAATGTTTTATATGCAGATTAAATAGGTCTTTATTGTATAGGTCTAATTGTCTCCCGAGGCCACAGGAGGGGGCGCAATAAGCTAAATATTGCAGCGCATTTAGCAAGTAACTCTATAAAAACGTGCATTACGTCTAAATTAACTCATAAAAATCAAATATAATTTCGTAAATTGCATAAACAATTATGAACAAAACAGCATCATGTATTTATGCATTGCTTAATCCAAAGAGCCGAAGCGCCATTCACACAAACTGCATTTAAAAACATAAGAGACGCAGTGAAAAGGAATAAACCTCCACAAATTCGTGACGTGTTTTCTAAAAGTTTAAACTGTTTTAACTTTGCATGGCTTTCTTTACATCTCTTCTGTGAGACGCGAGTGCAGCAGTCATATTTGTCCGTCTAAAAATGCGCTAAATAATAGTCTGTGTGAATGGCTTGGTTTCGGTTTTAACCCATTCAAGATCTTCTCCGCATTGAGCTTCTATATTTCTCTAATATTTTGAATGCATAACACAGCAGCGGCACATCTCGTGGGCTAGACTAACAAAACATTAAAATACAACAACATCACTTACATCATCTCTGCATCTCACGCTCCACTGATGACGCTCCCTGATGCACACCTAACATTCAAATGCAAATGTTTATTTTAAATTCGACTAATATTCATTCTTTATTCACAATCTCCTCATCACAGGCAGGCACAGCACTCAATTCAGCATGTGTTCGTCGTGTTTGTGTGTGCTGTCTACTCAGCACGTGCATATATCGTGCACTATATCGAACATTTTTTCTATTGATATCGAAGAAGGTGTACAGTCGATAAATATTGATACCATTTTATCGCCCAGGCCTAGTCTCGAGCATTTTTTCGCCATTCCACTGTCAGTGTCTCATGTTTTTCGAAGGCGTCAGATTTGACAAAAAAGCCACCTAGTTTTATATATGCAGATCCCCAGTTATTATGGATAGGAGATAATATTCTAAAAAAATGCCTCTTAAAAACGCTGTATGCCAAGTAGCAACACTGAACCAGAAAAATAAAATATATATTGACCAATATAATTAAAAAGCAAGAAATGTAATTAATTTATAAATAAAATATAATGTAAAATATTTAATATCAATATAAAATATTTAAATATTATGGAATATAATAAACAATATAACAATAAAGTAAATTGAATTATAATTCAATAAATTATATTTGTATTTGAATTATAAATGCATTGAATTTTTTATCTAAAATTATTTTGAAAGTTGAATTATGCTCTGTTACACCGATGTAAGGAGGGGGGGTTTCAGGGACAAAAGGTTATGATCCGCAAAAGGTCCATATGCTTTTGGCCCTATTGTGTATTATTTTCCATTATATTCAGCTATCATCACATTTTGAAATTATGCTCTGCTTTCTATCGCATCACTCTATTTTTTTTTTTGCATTGGCATCACTGGCATTGTATGCACACACAGTTTAGCGTCTGTGCACAAAATTAGTTTAACCGGTCAATTTGACATTTTGTGATAAATCAATATCTGCTCTCTAGGTACCGACCAACTTGGTGTTTTGTGAAGATCCCAGATCCAATTAACAGTAAAGCATTTAAGCATATGAACTTTCAGGTGAGAATCTAAAGTCTTTTGAGTGTTCCATATGAAAGAGACGTCACACTCATACAAAAACAGAACGATATTCATTCATGTTTTGGCTTTTCTTCCAGCACGCGTGGCCACGGCTATGTTCTCCTTCTGAACTGAATATAAAGATCTCTGAGCTGGAGATCGTAGAGAAGCTGGATCGCGACACACCTACTCCTCCATCAGAGACTGAACCAGAGAAGATTTTAATCGATGTGGAACCCCAACATTTTCAGCTGCCAAATGGACTGGGCAGAACAAATGAAGGTGGAGATGAGCCTGAGGAATCAAACAGAGGAAGCATTTTAAAGCATGGCAGCTGGGCAAAGGAGTACAGCGAAATGGTCGACACTGATGAAGAGGAAGAGTGGTGGGACCAGCAATGTGTCTCGGACTATGAAAGACATTTTTTGCCTGCTGTTGAGGCGAATTAACTTTTCATATCTCAGGATAGTTCATCTGTACTGTAGTGCCTTAAATGGAACAATCAGAAAGTGTTTGTTCCAAGTGTTTTACTGAAGAACAAGGTGTGCTTTTTGATCAGACACTGAAAAGAGTATTAAGAAAGTGTTATTCATGAAATGACACAGATGTATCCGTGAGAGAGGTCTTGCACAACTATGCACAGATTTTTACATTTACAGTCTTCCACACTAGCCGCAACATTTAAAGTTGGCGTATATTTTTTGCACCACTAGCATTGTCAAGTGGAATAAGGACTATATAGGTTTCTGGAATACTGTCCCCTTTTGCCATTGGTCAGATGTTCCTGCCTCAAACTCACGCCATTGGTTGAGCTAATGTTAGGAGGGTCAGAGTGCTCCGATAAACAACAAAGTTTTGATAGCTCCACAGTCACATGTGGTTAACACTTTTCAGGGAATTCAACCTACAAATGTCTTATAGTTATCTCTGCACATTAAACCTTGTATTTCAACTTGCACGTGACACAAATGAGACGTTATTACAAGTAGACACAGCACACAATTGAATGTAAAAAGCTTGTTTTTGTACATAATAAATATTTTTTATATGTGAATATGCTTCTTATTTGTGGCTATCGTATATATAAGTGAATTTCTTCACTTATATATACGATAAAGTTTTGCAGTGATTTGTTTGACAGATAATGTAGAATTGGCATGTAAACATAACATAGGACTAGTCACAAGTAGTAGTCAGTGTGTGGTGTAGTTTACCCATTTTATGGAAGACAAATAACTTTATTTCTCGTAACTGTGATTTGAAATTGCGTTTTTATTATTATAATTTTTTTACGGGCTTCCATTCCATAAAGATATTTTTAGGTTGCCTCAGTCAAAGTTCTGGAATATCAGCACAGTCGACCATACATATATTTTGAAGACATTGATATCAACTCAATCTTGTTACCTCCAAAGCCTTGAATAAAATAGTGAGTATATAATAGTACCGGTAAAGTAAACCAGCATAGTTTGTCTATATTTGACCTTCAGATGGAGAAGTGTTAAAGATTATGATTACAAATTAGGTTAATTTAGATAGTTAAACTGATGAGGTTTAAAAATATACTACCATTCAAACATTTGGGGTTGGTAAGATTTTTTTATGTTTTTGAAAAAAGTCTCTGCTCATTAAGGCTGCATATTTGTTAAAAAATACTGTGAAATATTACAATTTGAAGTAACTCCTATATACAAAAATTATAATGTAATGTAAAGCTGAATTTTCAGCATCATTACTCCAGTCTTCAGCGTCACATGATCCTTCAGAATTCACTCTAATATAATGATTTGCTGCTCAAGAAACACTTATTATTATCAATGATGAAAACAGTTGTGCTGATTAATATTTTTATGGAAACCATTACTGTTTTTCAGGATTCTTTGATGAACAGAATGTTGAAAAGAACAGCATTTATTTGAAACAGAAATCCTTTGTAACATTATAAATGCCTATGCCTTTGCTGTTGTAGTAGACAGCTATTTCAGCTGGCTTTCATATAGAACATAAGCTTCTCAGGAATTTTCTGAAATAAGGCGACTGGTTGCTTGTTCAGAACCTGATTTACTATGCTACGAAATCTACTGTTCACGACAGAGACAGACATATGAAAAGTAATGGTAGCAAAAACCGAAAATAATACACATATCTATAAAATAAATACATATCCAAAGTAGGTTTCCAGAAGGCAACCAGCAGCACCCATCCCCCATTCAGCCAAGCAGCCTACATTCCGCTCTGCACGAGGCTCAAACCAGGAGCTTCCGCTCGTTGTTGTTAGGGGGCGCTCGCGGGCTTTCAGGCCGCTCTAGAGATACAATCAGACCAGATGGGAGGGGGGGAGTGAGAGGGAAAAGGAACTAGCTGAGCTGCCCTTTGTTTCTAGATTTGCCGAAGAGTACGGGGAAGAGACCGGCGCGAATCTATACTGTAAGTCACGCTCTAAACGCGGCACAATGTTTGTAGAACACATGACGTCATGGCGGACGTTTAAACGGATACATGTTGTCCCGTTATAGAACGCGGATAAGTTGTTTGTTTCGCGGGTTTGCTGTGCTCGGATCAGTCCGACATTACACCACCGCAGCAGCGGCAGAATGAATGAATAAGTTTTGGGAATGTAACTCGAGCGGGGGACCGGGGTCAAGCGTACGGGAGGCGGGTAGGATCAATCATCTTAAAGGAGATGCTCGCGGTGTTTACCTCTGAGTTCGAGCTTTATGACTCAAGTTATTCGGTTTTAAAAGCACACACAGACATGGAGAAGCACAGCATGGCCGACTGTAATCACACATACACACAACCGGGTCTTTTGCCGTTCTTTGTCTTACCTTTTGGGTCTTGTTTGTGCTTTTAAAATTGAATTAAATAGTTTAAATAACGTTTAAACTCTCCGCCAACACAAGCAGTTGGGTATAAAAACATATCGGGAATGTTTTAACCGGTTTTAAAAGTCGTTTTGTTTTATGTCTGGCTTTAATGGAGCTCTAATGTTTCTCTTGTTGGGTCACGTTCTTAAAAACCACCTAAATAATTTTTAGCTTTGTCGTAATTTTATATAAATTTTTACATTTATAACATGATTTATTATCATGTTGGAAAAAGGCTTTAATGATTGTGGGATATTGTTGGCTAATGTTTAGCCATACAATGTTAGCCGGCTGCTAATTCACGTTAGCATTGGAACAAAACAAACAAGCAAAAAAACAAAACAGAAATTGTCGTTTATTTTATCACTGCTCGTTAAAACACTTATTTTTTGATAGAAAATTGTTTTATGTCATAACTAATTATAAGTGTTTGTAAATATGTGGTTATTTTTGTAAATAAACTCGCAAACAGCTTGTTAACCGGCATATGCATTTTTAGGTAGTAATTACAGCATCATTAAAGTTATCTATTTTGTATTAATTAGAGTTTACTTTCAGCTGTTTCATGAATGAAATACTACATTTGTTTGTGACATATGGTTAAAAACAGTTGCTAAGAGCCAGTAGAAGATGCAAGTTGCATTGTGTAATTATCACCGGGGCTAGTTGTTTGCTCCAATGAATATTTCTCAGGGTGAATTTGTTTGTGTCAGTGTTTATATACTTTTTCTTGTTTATTAAACACCATTGAACATTTCCATTGTTATTGGCTGGGAAAAAATATATACGGTTCATTTACCTCTGTGACAAATTGCCCCAGTGGTCTAGCATGTTGTCACAATTAATTATTAATTAAAGACATTCTTTATTAAAGGCTTTCAGCTAAATTTAAAACAGTTATGATACATTTTATAGCATTCAGTGCTAAAAAATACATTAGTGTAATGTTTTTATACTGTCATCTAATTGTTGTAATCTGTAGTTTGATTTTAAAAAATTAGTCTTTAATCTTTTACATTTTTCATATTTTAAATGCAAGATAATCTAAGATCTGTGATTTGTAATAGCGTAGAGTCTCCTGAATTTTTCTAAATATTTTATTGTGTGTATACGCACACATACACACACACACATTTTTTATATATATATATATATATATATATATATATTTATTTTTTAAAC